CTGTCCCAATTCCCTGATCCCGCCCTTCCCTGGCAGTGAAAAGCGAGGATGAGGACGGCGCCCACTCCCACGGCAAAGGCGGCGACGACGGCAAAGACCACAAGCGCTCCAAGCGGCCGCGCACCATCCTGACCACCCAACAGCGCCGCGCCTTCAAGGCCTCCTTCGAGGTGTCCTCCAAGCCCTGCAGAAAGGTACCGGCACCCCAATCCCGCCGGGATCCTTCCCGCCGGGATCTGAGTCCCACCCAGCTCGTTTTGGAGCCCAGCTGTTGGTTTGGATCGTTCCCGGTGGGATTTAATCCCAGCTGAGCTTTTCTTGGAGCCCAACCACCACCGGGATCCTTCCCAGAGCGATTTAATCCCGATTTATCCCTTTTCCATGGCCAGGTGAGGGAGACGCTGGCGGCGGAGACGGGATTGACCGTGCGGGTGGTCCAGGTGTGGTTCCAGAACCAACGGGCCAAGGTGAGGGAACGGATCCCGTTCCAGGGGTGGGATTTAACCCCCACCCGGAGCTCCGAGGGCTCGAATTCCCGGTGTGTCCGTGTGTTTTCCCAGATGAAGAAAATCGCCCGGAGGCAGCAGCAGCAGCAGCAGCAGCAGGAGCAGGAGCAGCTCGGGAATGCCCGGCTGGGAAGCGGGAGAGGGACCGGGAGGAGCAGCCGGCAGAGCAACGACGACAGTGAAGGTGAGGGAAAACTGGGAATGGGCGGAGAGCTGGGATGCAGGGAGTGGCTTGGATGCGTTTTGTGGAATTGTGGAGCGGTTTGGGTGGGAAGGGACCTTAAATCATCCCATTATCCCACTGAATTCCAAAGGCAGGGACACCTTCCAGGGCCCAGGTGGATCTAGCCTGGCCTTGGACACTTCCCGGGATGGGGCAGCCACAGCTCCTCTGGGAATTCCATCCCATTCCCTCCCCGCCCTCCCAGCCAAGGATTCCTTCCCCAATTCCACCTCAATCCCCCCTTTTCCAGGGGGAAGCCATTCCCTGTGTCCTGTCCCTCCAGCCCTTCTCCCCAGTCCCTCTCCCGCTCTCCTGGAGCCCCTTTAGGCTCTGGAACGCACTGTCATGACATCACTATCATGACATCACTATGGTGACATCACTATCATGACACCACTATCACGACATCACTATCATGACATCACTCTGGTGACACCACTATCACGATATCACTATGGTGACATCACGACATCCCTCTGGTGACATCACTATCATGACACCACTATCATGACACCACTATCGCGACATCCCTCTGGTGACCTCCCCATGGCAACGCTGCCCCGTTGGGTGCCCGCAGACGCCGCGAGCGTGCCCGGCCTCGAGGGGCTCCTGGCGCCGTATTCCCGCCTCCCGCCGCAGCCGCTCCTGCCCCTGGAGCACAACGGGCTGAGCCCGGAGCTCTTCCGGCCGGGAATGACCCCCCCCCAGCTCCCCCCGGAACACCTGCACCCCTACGGTAACGCCGGGAGCGCCGGGACACGCCGGGGCACACCGGGACACAGCGGGATACAGTGGGATACAGCGGGGGGCACAGGGATACACAGGGATACACAGGGACACACCGGGATACAGCGGGACACAGCGGGATACAGTGGGATACAGCGGGGGGCACAGGGATACACAGGGACACACTGGGACACACCGGGATACAGTGGGGTGCACAGGGATACACAGGGATACAATGGGATACAGGATACAGGATCCACTGGGATATGAGATCCAGTGGGATACGGAGCTGGGGAGGAGCCCTGGGCAGGGGGAGAAGAGGGATAGGGATGGGATGGGATGGGATGGGATGGGATGGGATGGGATGGGATGGGATGGGATGGGATGGGGGAGAAGGTTTGGGAAGGGAATTCC